CACAATCCATGTGCACTCAAGGTCTCTGGGATTTTCGCCTGTTTCTGACAACACACATGAGCCCTGACACCAGGACATCTGAGAGCCGCGAGCCACTCCACCTGGGACAGCGGAGGGCCCCAGGACCCTCCTTCAGTCAGTGGGAGGGAGACTTCATCTCCACCTGCCTGCTCCTGTGTTTCCTGACACCTTAGAGCCCAAACCATTCACAGCAAACACTGAACTCAAAGCTTAATTCAATGGGAATTAGCACACTGATCGTGAGACTCAGCTTTGAGGGTAACTGGTCAAGGTCTGTCTTACTGGGGGACCTCACGTTTATCCAACTGTGAACTGGGCCTTCTTCAAGGGGGTGTGTGAGGAGACCCGAGAGAGGCTCAGCTGCACATGGAGCACCACGTGAGGCGCCAGTGCACATGGCTGTGGGCGGCCATACTGTGCAGAGGCGCAACCCAAGTGCTCACCAAGCCCCCTGCCTGCACCGTGCTGAGCGCCCATCGTGGAAGGCTGAGGCGTGGTGGGAACTCCGTTGCCTGAGACAAACCACCTCATGTGAGTCGTGGCTGGGCTCCCGGGCCAAGGGGGTGTGACCGAATCGCTCATCACAGTCCTCACACTCACAAGTGACCGACAATCCTCCTGGCAGTAGGCTGGGCGGCTTAGCCACCACCGACTCGCTTCTCTGTATGCCCACCACTCACGGCCCACGTACGTGCTGGGACGCAGGTGAGGCTCCTACAGAGGCCCTGGGAACATGGCAGCCCATGCCAGCTGGTGGCTCACCGCTGCCCTCTCCACCTCCCAGGGTCGCCGCGTGCCTCCACTCAGACACGTGCTCGTCTCCTGCTGTCCCTAGCCGGTCCTGACTGTGAGGAACAACTGGAGGGTTGTAAACACTCTACCCAAGGTGAGGTCAGATTTGCCAGCCCTCTGAGCACAAGACGCCCCCCAGAGGAGCCCAGGAACCAGCCTGGAGCTCTGTACAGGACAGCATGTGAGAGGGGACAAACACTGAGCATTCTCCACACCCTGCACCAGAGCGTGAAGGCAACCATGCAAGCAAGCTAACTGTGACCCAAAATCCAGAAACAGGAAGGAAAACAGCAATGCACTTAACATAAAAACAAACATCTGCATGAGCTCAGTGAAAAGATAAATGAGAGGCCAGCCCATGGCACAGTGCGCCAGGCCACTGCATGCAACATGGGCGTCCCATATCAGAGCTCAAGCCTGAGCACTTGGGCCCCTGCCACCCACACGGGAGACGGAGATGGAGTTTCAGCGCCCAGTTCTGATCTGGCTCTGCTGTGATACGGCCATTTAGGGAAGATTTCTGTCTCTCTCCCTCTCCCTGTGTCACTCTTTCAGATAAACACAAGTGAATCTCTCTTTAAAAAAAAAAAAAAAAGATAAAGAATGAGCTGGGAAAACCTTGTACAATATACGGGTACACTACAGAAAAGAGCCCATACCCTACCACACAAAGGGTTTCTGAAGCAGAGGAAAAAGGTCAACGACTCTCCAGAAGAACGGATTACGAAGTAAACAGCTCAGGAGTGACTCCAACCCCATGAAAAGTGAGAAGTGCGAGTTACACTACACTGAGATACCACTGTCACCTGTTAAGACTGCAAAACCTTCAAGATGACAACACACTGCTGGGAAAAAGGGACTCGCCCTTGCTGCCGGGAACACAACAGAAAAGCAACCCCGAAGGAGGGGAGGTGGAGGGGGGGTGGCAGTGTCAATCAAAACCCCAGCTGCGGCCAGTGCCACGGCTCACTAGGCTAATCCTCCGCCTTGCGGCACCGGCACACCGGGTTCTAGTCCTGGTCGGGGCGCCGGATTCTGTCCCGGTTGCCCCTCTTCCAGGCCAGCCCTCTGCTGTGGCCCGGGAGTGCAGTGGAGGATGGCCCAGGTCCTTGGGCCCTGCACCCCATGGGAGACCAGGAGAAGCACCTGGCTCCTGCGGATCAGCGCGGTGTGCCGGCTGCAGCAGCCATTGGAGGGTGAACCAACGGCAAAGGAAGACCTTTCTCTCTGTCTCTCTCTCTCTCACTGTCCACTCTGCCTGTCAAAAAAAAAAGAAAAAGAAAAAACCCCAGCTGCATTAACCCTTGCAGCCAGCTCCTTCGTTCTCCGGGGACGGCCTGACCAGCGTTCAGGAACGTGCAGGAAGGAGGCAACTCACTCCAGGACTGTCTGCAGTGACAACAAACCAGCATGACTCCAAGTGTCCGGCAGTCGGGGGCTAACGCAGCACATCGTGGTGCCGTGGTCGGAGTGTGTGCATCTCACCCGAAACTCCTACGACCAAACCTAACCCTCGGTGAGACGGCAGGTAAAGGGGGTTTCGGGACACCACTCGGGGGGGTGTTCCGGCCTTCCTCAATGGGATGAGTGCCCTCCTTAGAGCAGCCTGAAGGAGCGCATCCACCCTCTGCCCTGACAGGACGCACCTAGAGGCGCCACCTGTGAGACACGGTGGGCCCTCGCCAACACCCAGCATGCCGGCACCTGATCCTGGACTTGCCCGCCTCCCAACCACAAGAAACAAAGGTTTGTTCGCAGGTCACCCCGCCCAGGGTGGCTTTCACAGCAGCTGGACACACGGTGCCCACACAAAGGAACACTACACAGCTACGAAAAAGGAATAAAGGCCATATATAGCTGTTGTGCCACTTATTTTTTGTTATTAAATTTTTACTTTTCCCACTGGACAGATGAAGAAACAATGGCCAACACAGCAGCTACGTGGGGCGTTCTATTTTTTGATACAGATTCCTGCGCTCCACTTGCAACCCCCTACCCCCAAGCTCAGAATCAGCAGCCCTGACCCTGGGCCCCAGAGCCCGTTTTCCCTGTGGCTGCTGCGTCTGACCCTGAGTGGGAGGCTCACTAACGGAAGCCACTCTGTTACCAGCGTGGAAAACAACATGCCCCAGTAAGGGCCACGCGCTGCCAAGTGCTAGACAAAGGAGTCAGTCCTCCCACCTCGGGTGGCCTGCACACGTGTCCGCTTCCTCTCTTGCAATAAGTAAAGTGAAAAGGGCCTCGAGCAAACCAGCTTTGGGGTGGTCGTCCTGCACCCTTGCGGTGCCGGCGGGCACAGCCGGAGTCCCCCACAACTCCCATCACCTGATCCTGGAGGTCTGAGCGGGTCAGGCATCTCACGCCCCCTGCTGGACACACACACACGCTGCCAGTCACAGGGCAGGGGTGCCCTCTCCTGCGAAGCCAGGCTGAGCCAGGGCCACACCAGGCCACCCTACTCCTCACGCCCTCAGAGAGAACAGAGGGGGACCTGGGAAAATCCAGGCTCCAGCGCGGGCAAGCGGCCGGGGCCACCGGCTGGCGCCCTCTCCTCTCTCGCCAGCCCCTGTGGGCAACACCCCTTCCACTCACCGTGGGGTTGAAGATCAACGTGACGTGCTTGTGGTAGCCCACGGCGGCGAAAGACACCTGAGGCAGGCCGTAGTCGTACTGGGATCTGGGCAGCGTGGAGTCCAGCAGCACCACGTAGTTCTGCGCACGCAAGGAGACGGCGTTTCTGCGCGGGGCGGCGCCACGCGCGCAGGGGACCCCCACGTCCACACGGCCAGCCAAGGCTGCTAACGTCCGAGGGGCCACAGCCCTGTGGCCCTAGGGTCTGCCTCCTCTCGGTACAAACGCAATCAGGGCAGCGCCAGCCGCGGCCTTACCTCGCCATCTCTCAGCAGCGGGGGGAAGTGGAAGAACAGGGACTGGCCCAGGGACACCGTCTGGATGGGATTGTCCAGGTTGTCGCTTTTGTAAAGCTTCACCTGAGGGAGGAAGCAGGGGGCGCACGCATGTGAGAAGGCAATACGACGCGCGGGTTCACTTCCTGCACCCAAGATGGCTCTCTCTGCGCATGCGTGTGCGCTTGTGCATGCGCGGGGCGGGGCTCGCACGGGACGGGGTGGGGGCATGCTGGGCAGGGCAGAGCGCGTGGCCGTGCCCCACGGGCCGCACACTGCACCTGCCTCGCCCTCCCGAGCCCGGGGCTGGCAGTGCACAGGAAGCTGCGCCTTGAACACAGATTCTGACCAGGGAGGCCATTGCCCAAGATGGGCCGGAATCGGATTTTGTGATAACGGCAGCCATCTGTGATACTCCGGGCTCGCGATGGGCGCTTAGCAAACAGCACCGCTCAGCCTGACAGCAGAACCGGCGTGTTGGTTACCCCTGTGGGGACTCCCAGAGCCGAAGTCAGCTAAGGTCACATAGCTCACGCCCCGGGAAAGCCAAGGACAGGCCCACCTCTCTGAGGGCCCTGCCCACGTTGCACTGCGCTCTGTACACCAGCTCCTCCAAGCTGCTCCACACACAGCCACTCAGAGCTTCAGTACCCTCTACCAGGCCTCACTACCAGGCTGACGTCAGAGGTGGGAGGGCTCCACCTGCCCTTGCCACAGGGCAGCCCGAGACCACCCCCCTGGGCCCAGGCTGACACCTTTCTACACGGCACACAAGTGTCACAGCCTAGAAGGCAAGTGGGTCATATCCCCACCCAGACGCGTGGGCCCTTCTGTCCTGTGCAGCACCTCGACTAATTCAAATTCAGTGTCGGTGTGAGAAAAGCAAGTGGCCTCACGTCATCCTCGATTCCAGGAAGTGAGACTGATGCTGGGCAGGAATTCCAAGGAGGCAAGGACGGGAAGGGGCCAGCAGGTGGAGCCCTCCCCACACCTCTCCTCCCACCCCGGACAGGAGGGGGCTCTCCATTTTGCACACTCTGCCATCCTCCCCCTCCGGTGGGCTGCTGGGCCCTGCAGGCACCCACGCTCGCAATCCCTGGGCTGATGGTGAGTGGGGAGGTGAGCTGAGACCTAAACTGTGTTGGCTCCCACTCAATCCCTGAGCACACCTAACATGGCCGGTGTCTTCACGCCCACACACACACCACACCCCGTGATTCATCAACATCTCGTAAGGGAAGGGTCTCGGGTCTTTCTACAGAACTTCTCCCTTTGTGGCAGGTGCAGAGATTCTATTAGAACTGCAACAGCCCATGAAGGTCACCGGCTCCAAGCTCCTGGTTTTACAGGGAGCAAACTGGAAATGAAGTGACGTGGCCAAGGCAGCAAGGTGAGCAACTACTAGGTGACGAGAGATTCGAGGCCACTGCCCATGACCCATGTGCCCAAGCACAGAAGCAGAAAGCTGTCTTCCCGCTCCAGATCCCAGTGCCGGGAGATGTTCACGTGAAAGGGAGGCACGTTCCCTCCGAGCTGGGCCTGGGCAGGCAGCGGCCAGGACAGCAGTGAGCCGCGCGCACACGCCCACTCCCGCTCGTCTCGAAGGCAGAAAGAAAACAGTTAACACTGGTCTTAGAAAGCTGCTTACCCACAGCGTAGGAAGATACTCGGAGGAAGTGATCACATTTCCACTCAAATCAAACTGATTAATCTGTCGGAAAACGATGATGTTCACGTCATCGATGTCATTATTCCCGACCTGGAGGGGACAAGGGAGGCGGGCGCTGAGAAGGCAGCTGCTGGGTGGCCCGAGCTGCTTCCTGGAGAGGCTCCCTCCTTCCACGAGGGAGCACCGGCTGCCTCCGAGGCGGCCTGAGCCCGAGCCCCAGCCACCCCCGGCCTGTGCATGCAGCTTGCCTGATGAGCACAGGACTTCTCCCCATACCCTATTACTTGCCAACATCTTAAAAAGTAAGCTATTTCACAGGTGAAGCCAGAGTTTTCGGCTTCTCTGGCCTAAGGAGAAAGCGCTTTGTTGAGACCACAGACGGCCCTGCACACGTGCCCGGCCACAGTTGTACGTAACCGGCCTGACCATGGCCCAGGTCACCGGGTCAGGGAAATACCAAACCATACTGCGTTTAGCAGTCAGACGCAGCTATCCCCTCAGATAAATGCCAGAGACACTGACAATACTCTAGGTCGCAAAGTCCTGAATGGAGGGGCCCTCCACCCTCCCTCTGAACGCCTCGCTGGCTTCATGCCTGATGAAGCCACCAAAATAAAGTCAGAGAGAGGCAGACGCTGTGCCCCTCGCCCCCCCCCAACCCTCCACCAGCCAATGAGAGAAAAGCTTGGTGCCCAATCCCTGGGACCCGGAGGCTGCCTCTTTAGGGATCAGTGTCACTAGGTCAGGACCTTGAATATCAACTGTGCCTGGGTGGCTCTGAGCCACCAAAGCCAGCTTCTCTCGATGACTCTGCTGTGACCTGAAAGGTGGCTTGTGCTCTAAGACCCTTAACTCACAGAGTAATGCACCGAGCTCGCGGGGGAGCGGGGACATAGCAGCGCCAGTCTCCCTTCTGGAGGCGACAGCAACACTGCCTGTTAGAACCCCACGTAAACGGCGGCCTGTTCCGAAGCGGACTCTGTTCTAGGAAGGCCCTCAATTAGGACCTCCACGTTCCCTGGCCGGAGCGGCGCTAGAAGGTCTGTGGTCAGGGAAGCAACGGGCCCAGGCTGCAGCGGGGGAACGGTGCCTTACCTCAATCACCCGATGGTGGGGCAGTGCGCGCTCGATGTGGTCGTTGCCTTCTGCCTTGAGCTGAACGTGGTACACACACCCTGGCTGCAAACAGACCCAGGGATCATGGCTCTGGAAGCGGGGGGGGGGGGGGTGTCGCAGCACACACCTGACCTGACCTGACCGGAGCAGGTTACCCCTGCTCCCTGGGACCAGAGCACTGCTGTCCCGTCACATTTCCCAATGGGCAGGCAACAGTTCTCACAGGCCCCTGCACGCAGCACTGCTGGGGACGAAACACCTTGAGTTCACAGTTCCCCAACACCAATCCAGCATCACGTTATACTACCCAAGGGAGAGTAAATTTGGTTTCTTCTTTCAAAATGACAAGCAGAAATGCACTTAAGCTTCTAAAGCTATTCTTTCCTCGCTGTGCACCTCTCCTCTTGGTCTGTATACAGTCAGCCCTCAGGGATTTGTGGGGGAGCAGTGACAGGACCCCCCCAGACACACACACGTGTGCACGCACACACATGTACACGCCAAAATCCATTCACCCTGCGCCTTTATAACACGGTGCAGTATTTGCACAGAACCTCTGCACATCCCCCATTACACCTGCATCATCTCTGGGTTCCTTACAATACCTAATATGATATGAATGCTAGGCAAACAGCTGTGAAACTGGGGCAGATGCTTGACAGAGCAGTTAAATCGCCGCTTGCATCCCACACTCGAGTGTCTGCATCAAGTCCCAGCTCCACTTCTGATCCAGCTTCTACTAGCATGCACCCCGGGAGGCAGCAGGTGATGGCTCAAGTACTCGGGCCCCTGCCCTCCACACGGCAGATCTAGACCGAGTTCTGGGTTCCTGGCTTCAGCCTGGCCCAGCACGGGCTGCTGCGCCTGTGAACCAGCAGATGGGAGCTCTCCTTTCATCTGTCCCTCTGTTGTCTTCTCTCTGTCTCTGCCTTTTACATAAGTTTTTTTTTTTTTTTTTAAGATTCATCTATATGAAAGGCAGAGTATCAGAAAGACCCAAGCAGAGAAAGAGATCCCCCACCTGCTGGTTCACTCCTCAGATGGCCGCCATGGCTGAGGCTGGGCCAGGCTGAAGCCAGGAATCGGGTCTCCCACATGGGGGCCAGGGGCCTAAGCACTCACGCCATCACCTGTGCCTTTCCGGACACATTAGCAGGGAGCTGAGTCAGGAGCAAAACAGCCAGGACTCAAACCACTACTCTGCTATGGGATGCCGGTGCTGCAGGAGGCAGCTTAACCTGCGACACCACACGCCAGCCCTTCGGATAAATTATAAACCCTGTAAACAGCTGTTAAACTGTATTGTTCAGGGATTTACAACAAGACGAAAGTCTATATATGCTCAGTCCAGACAGACCTTTTTTTTTTCCCGCAAGTATTTTCAATCTCCAGTTGGCTGACTATACAGAGAGCAAATTTATATGCACCAAGGGACAGCTGCAAATGAGTCTCAACTGTTTACAATGGATCGTATTTCTGGAGAGTGGGATTTGAGGTTTTTCTTCCTTTAAAAAAAAAAAATGCCTTCTTTACAGGCATATATCACTGGCTACTGAAAGTCACTGTTCTAAAAAGACTTAAGACACCGATTCCCCTTCACCAATACCACCGCTGGCCCACTGACTCACCCTGTGGTTCAAAGGGATCTAGCAGGATCTCCAGGGGAAAGCCTGAGACTCCACAGCTCAGTTTACACCAGCACAGGGAAGCTGTGTTCTGGGAGGCGTATTTCCGGCCCCCAGGACTCCATCTGCTTTGATCACCTCCGTGCAGGCAGAGCCGTGCAGGAATGGCAGTCACTAAACACTGACCACGCCTCCTTCCCTGCACTGGCTGTAGGGGCTTTCTCCCTTTCGAGGTCTTGTCTGTTCCTAGCTGTTGCTCGAATTTTACAGTGAGCACACAGTCCTTTTACAGACATCAAAGTTACTATTTAAAAAAAAAAAAAAAACTGTGAGAATAATCAAATTTATGATCACCAACAGATGTGCTCAATTAGGACTGGCAACGCTGGGTTTGGTTCAAAACAGCCATTTGCGCCTCCACAGGGGAAAGACAGCAGGAGGCACCTTTTGAAGGAGGGAAGATAGTGTTGGAACAGACACTGCGCTCCGGCTCAGGAGCCCGGCTGCCTGCTCCTGTGCAGCGGGCCTCACACACCCGTCTTTGTCCTGTCTCGTACAGGCTCCCTGCCTGGTGCTCCTCTGTCCACTCTGGACCTGTCACCACGCTGCGGGAGAGACGAGAGCGTGCACCCACGCCTGGAGAACCTGAGTCCCCACAGTGGTGGCTTCCCAGGGGCTGGACCCCTCCCCGGGGGGCCAGAAGGAACATCTCCACGCTCACGGGGATGGCAAGGAAGTGTCGCCATGATGGGCCTGAGGAGGGAGTGGCAGGCAGAGCAGGGCACAGCAGCCCTGAGTGCAGTTGTGCGCCTGCTCGGTCCGCTATGCCAAGGAACCGAAGTAGCCAGTCCTAGTGTGGCCACGCCACATGCATCTGCCTCTTCACCCTGAACACTCCGTGCTCACCCAGCAAACTTCCAACCCCAACTTTCAGGTACCCCAAGCCCTGAGAGTGGAGACGCCCTGCACATGGGACAGGAGCATTCTTGTCTTGGGGGAAAAAAAACAACGGTGTCAGCCTAACACACTCAAGCTGGGCAGCCCCTGCCCAAAACACTTGGGACCACAGCACTTCAGGCTCTGGAGTTCCTAAAATCCGCCTATCACAAAATGAGCTACCCTGGGGCTGGGATCCAAGTCTAAACACGAAACCACTCATGTCTCACAGATATACTTTATACACGGGGCCTGAAGATAATTCTATACAATATTTTTAGTAATTTTGTACAGGAAACAGTGGTAGGGTATGAAATTTTCCACTGTGGCCTCATGTCAGTGGCCAGAAAGGCCTGGATTCTGAAGCACTTGGGATTTCAGATGCTTGGATTAAGGATGCTCTACCTGCAACTCAACTGGCAAGATAACATGCCAGTTATAACACGCCTGTCACTGAGATACAAGCACCACCTCCAGTGTCAGCCACGAATGCCCAGGCTGTGCACCTAAAAGGCTGGGGCCCCAACTCCAGATGCCAGTGCCCCGCCCACTGGATGCTCTCAGTATACTGTCCCTTGGGACTGCTATGGTACAGACTCAGCGTCTGGTTCTAGGGCCAACTAACAAACAAAAATCAAGGCAAAAAGCACTACAAATCTATAGCCAAATGTTGCAATTTAGCAACCAAAACAACAAAGTTGTTTATTTGGCCTGCACATAGAAGTTGTGGGTTTCTCTTTCTTAATTGGCTATAAATATCCAAAAATCGGGAGTCCCACAAAGAAGTCTGAATTTCTCATTTCTCTTTTAAAAATGCAAACCACCAGGGCTGTCTTTCCATGTGACTCTAAAGAGCTGGAGCTGAGGAGCAGGCTGCCCCTGGACACTGCCACGCCCCCTCCACACTCCTCACACTCCCTGTCCTCTGTCTGCCTGGCCTCCTTCAGCCCTGTAGGCACTTGATTTGCGAGACCTGGTGTGAGCCATAACCTCCCAACACACTGGGCAAGAACTGCACCAAACCCATGGATTCCAAGCTTTGGCCACAGAACCCTACTCCCATGTGTTGTTTAGACACGAGGCAAACTGTGTCAGCGAAGGATTGAGAGAGGTCCGGAGCCCCTCAGCCCTTGTGGGCCCCCAAGGGACACCTCTGGACATGGTGGGGAAAACAAGAGTCTCACCAGCAAGCCACGGAGCCTGAACTTCCCCTCTTCGTCGGTCACGGTGTCTTCTCCGTAAATGCTACAGTCCTTCTGTCCCACGGCTTCCACGGCGACCCCCTGCTCCGGCTCTCCATTCAAAGACGACACGGTGCCGTAGCAACTAGGGCGACCAGAGAGGAAGTGGAAGCTGCCATGCTGGGAGCTTCCTGGAGCACACACGGACTCTCCCGTGAAGGGCCGTGCACTTTCCAGCAATTGCCACACAAGGCAGCTCGGGCACAACAGCCCCAGTGACGGGCAGCTCAGCTGCAGCTGGGCCGCGCCCAGATCCAGCCTTCCTGCCAGGCGGGGAAGCTGTCAGCATTTTCTCTCTCGTATGCTTTGAGGGGCGCTCCGGAAAATGCTAATTTCTAAAGACTAAGCTTCATTTTATTCTTGTTAAGCATTATTTTCAATAATGAAGTGTTTGATAAGATGGAAATGACTCACTTCCTCTTTCATTCCACATGTTGTTGAAAATGGTCCATCTGGGCAGGCGCTGTGCTGTGGCAGGTGAAGCCGCCCCGGGGACAGATATGTCCCATATCGAAGGACCTGGTTCAAGTCCCAGCTACTGCACTTTCAATCTGGCTTCCTGCTAATGCACATCCAGGAAGGCGGCAGGTGATGGCCCAAGTACTTGCGACCTTGCCACCCACGTGGAAGGCCCAGATGGAGTCCTAGGCTCCTGGCTTCTGCCTGGCCCAGCCCCAGCTGTCACAGGCATGTGTGGAGTGAACCAACAGATGGAAGATCTGTCTCTGTGTGCTTCTAAATAAATAAATAAATTTATTTGAAGGTCCATTTTTCCTAAACCCAATCTTTCCAACTAATCTGCACATAAATATTTTTGCCTGTGTGTAAAATCCATGTATATTTTCATCGGTGTTTATGCATGTATATATGAATCTAACTCCCTACCTATATAGGAGGATGCATCATAAAGGGTGTGGAAAAATGCAATGAAAAGACAATTTCATTTTGGTGCAACAAAATTGTGAAATCCATGCAGAGTTGTTTCAGAATACACATTTTTATGAACTTTTTGAAGACTCCTTGAACGCATGGATTTCACAAAATGTTTACACTAAAACCAACTTACTTTTGAATGCTCTGTCCCATGGTGTTCTGAAATACCCTTATATAGCTAGTGTCTGTCTCTCTGTCCATCCATCCATACATCTGTAGTACATATTTGCATCAGCTGTCTCTGGAAATAGCCATAAAGACTGGAAGTACCGGCTGTCTCCTGGAGGGAACTCAGGTGACCAGGGGATAAGTCGGCTGGGACATTTCACACTGTGTGCCCTTCAGCATTTGGAAGTTTTACTCAGGTGAACATTTTCTCCTTTGAAAGCGTTAGTTCAAGTGTAAAACATTTTTAAAAATAAAATAGATTTTTTTTTTTAGCAATTCAACAGACTCAGGCCGATGTCAAAACAGGAAATGTGTGACTTGAGACAGTAAGCTGAGAAGACAGAAGGAAAAGGCAGCTGCCAGAGGCTCCGACCCCATACTCTGTCTCCCTTGACTCCCCAGCAAAATCAATCCGCAGACGGGGTGAGTTTCTAGAGTGCAGGAGTTAGGCTCGCCCGCCCAGCCCTGCGGAGAAGGGAAGGGGGCGGGGAAGCAGGGGAGCGCCAGCTACCTGTAGGCCGTCCGGTACCCGGTGATGGTGATCCTCAGGTTCTGCCCCTCCTGCACCTCGATCATCTGTGAGGACGGCTCAAACCGGAACTCCTTCATCATGGGTTTGAAGTAATACTGGCCGGGGCTCTGCCGAGAGACGGCGCGGCCTGAGCCTCAGCTGCCACAACTCGCTCTGGCTCGAAGAAGGGACCCCAAGCCGGAACCATCGGGAATGATGCCAGGGGAGCTGCCCAGATGGACAAAGGGGAACGCCATCTCCACAATAAACAGTAACAGCAACGCGACTGCAGGTCCAACCCACCCAAGGGCAGCCGACGTGAAGGAACAGGAGGCTCAGAGAGGGAAGGTGACCTGCTTTGTATGACACAGCCTGTAAGGAGCAGGAGACCTGAAGCTGGGTGCACATCATGGCAAAGCCGTGCGCCTCGGACACCCCACACTCCCCGGCCGTGAGCGCCCACAGCAGCCACTAGGTTCCCTGACTGACGGGATGGACAATTAACATCCCCGACTCCCCCCGCGTCAGGGCCCCTGACCACATCTCAAATGCACGCTTGGTGCTTTCTTCCCACCACACGGAACGTGCTTTGCAGAACAAACGGGAGCTAACCGCCCAGCACGTCTTGCCGTGAGAAGCAACACGATCCCGTGGTCACATAGAGGGCCGCCAGGGCTGCGGTAATTAATTACACTGCCTTGCTGACAAGTGGTGACCAGAAAACAAGATGCGTGTGCGGGAGGGAACATGAATCCCCAGCACAAGTTCTAGCAGGAGCACTGCTCTAATTAGACCTGGGCCCCCGAGGAACCGAGAGCCCTCGCCCCGGGTTTCCTGTTCTCGCGCTGTCAAGCAACGCACGAGCCACACGCACCGCGGTCCTTCTCTCCTGGGGCCAGCAGGCAGGTGGGAAGTGCCCAGGGATGTGTTACCAGGTTTGAGAACGTCAGGATGCCGTTGTCTTGGGTCAGGAGGTTGGAACGGAACACGCCACCGCTGAGGGATAAGAGGACCCCGGGGAGGGGCTGGTCATCTTCGGCTTTTATCTGCGATGAGGAAGTAAGGCCAGAGCAAGGTTAAACTCCTACTAAGCAGGAAGATGTATTTCCTAAGTCAAGAGGACATTCCTAAGGGTCTTCTCTTTTCTGTTCCTTTCTTGTTATCCACGCAGGGGAGGGGCATGCTGTCTGCTGTAACCTTCCACGACTCCTGCCCTGTGCCTACACCAATGCCACCAGCTGGACAGATGCCCCAGCCTGCTCTCCCCTCGGCAGCTTCCCTGGGCCTCTCCTGCCACTGCCTAGAGGGCTGCTTCCCCCATCTCAGCCACCACAGGACCCAGGCAGCACCCGACAGGAGACGATGAAGCACCCCAAACACGCACACAAGAAGATGGCAAAAGCTTGGTGGACAACGGAATTCAAGAGTAAGTTTATTTTGGTGCAAAAACCTTTTGAAATCTGTGCCTACAAAGGATCTTCGTGAAAAATGTGTACTATGAAAAGTCACACACAGATTAAGATTTTTTTTTTGACAGGTAGAGTGGAGAGAGAAAGAGAGAGAGAGACAGAGAGGAAGGTCTTCCTTTTGCCATTGGTTCACCCTCCAACGGCCGCCACGGCCGGCGCGCTGCGGCCAGCACACCACGCTGATCCGATGGCAGGAGCCAGGTACTTCTCCTGGTCTCCCATGGGGTGCAGGGCCCAAGCACTTGGGCCATCCTCCACTGCACTCCCTGGCCACAGCAGAGAGCTGGCCTGGAAGAGGGGCAACCGGGACAGAATCCGGCACCCTGATCGGGACTAGAACCCGGTGTGCCGGCGCCGCAAGGCGGAGATTAGCCTAGTGAGCCGCGGTGCCGGCCTGATTTCAAGATTTCTTCAAAGCAAAATAAACTTTTTTATTTCCACTTTCCATGAACTTTTTCAATGCCCTCATACATTCAGTTCCTAGAAATTCCTGAATATGCGCACTTTGAATTCTGTATTTCCAAGTGGTGGTGCCACTCACACTCCCATAAATGATCTATGCATGTGAAGACACATACTCACAAAAAAAATGCACAGTGCCTTCATTAGTCAAACCTAACCCCCAAAGCCTGTGTTTCATGGGGGATTTCCTCAGAAACCCCGAAGGCTGACATTTCTCCCACAGTCTTCAGTCACTCACATTACTGCCATGAATCGCTCTCTCACATCCTGTGCTGGGTGGGCACTGTGGCACGGTGGGTCCAGCTGCCAATTGAGACACCCACATTCCACATCAGAGCACCCACTCAAGTCCCAGGTCATCCACTCCGGATCCATCTTCTGGCTAATATGCCTAGGAAGGCAGCCAATTATGGACCAGGCACTCAGGTCCCTGCCACCCTGGCTTTGGCCTGGTTCAGTCCTGGAGTAAATCAGTGGATGGAAGGTCTCTCTCTCTTTCCTTCTTTGCCACACTACCTTTCTAATAAACAAATCTTTTTAAAAAGAAATATATATATCCTTTGTTCATTTTTTCCCAGTGGCATTATCTTTTTCTCATTGACTTTATGAGTAACTTACAAGCCAGAGATATTACTTATGGTACAAATATTTCTTCTCACTTTTGGGTATCTTTTCATCTGGTTTAAAATATATTTGGTGACATAAAATTTAAAAATTTTCTGTGACCTGTCATTTTCCTCCTCTGGCCTGGATTTTATAAATATTCATGTTCAAGGCCCTCCAGGACCTCAACACTCAGTGGGCTCTTCCCAAGAAGGACTGGGGGTGGAGATAGACAGACAGACAGCTCTCCCAAGGGAACATTCTGTGTCCTTCATCACAGAACAGTTAAGGATGAGAGGCTTAACACTTCTCAAAGGTACACAAATGTGCTAAAGTTGACAGCTCTCCAACCTACGCGGCTTGAAAGGAGCCAGACCAAAAAAAGAGTACGTCCTGTACAATTCCATGTAAGTAAAAACTCCAGAAGACTTGCAAACTAATCCACAGTGACAGAAAGCAGATCAGATCCGTGAGGACGGCCTGGCAACAAGGGTCAGCAGGGAACCGGGGGTGCGGGGACGTCACTGCCCCAGTGGCGGCGTTCCCACGCGTGTGCGCACCCATGGCCGCTATCCTAGGGTCTACAATGCGGTGTAGCACGCTATCATGCTAACTTGCACTGCAGCAGAACTCCCTTTAGAGAATGTGTGGGGTTACCTCGAAGCTCACGCCTGCCAAGGCATAGGCCTTGAAGTCTCCGATGGTCCCTTCCACGGCCGTCAGCACGTAGCCCTCCTTCTGTGAGGTCACGGTGTACTCCAGGTCACTGTGCAGGGGCCCAACGCTGAGCAGAAGAAAGCAAAGTGCCACAGACGGATCCGCTTCCCATGCTGGAGGGGCGCCACCTGCCCCGAGGAAAGCCGGGCTCCCCAGCCGGCGCTATGCACAGGCTCACCTGTAGGCACCCCTGTCGTCCGTGAAGACCGTGATCAGCGGCGAACTCGCCCCCTTTTCGCTGATGACGATCTCTACTCCTTCCAGCTCGGGGTGGATCTGGCCTTCTAGGAACAATCCCGCCTTCCCCTGGATCTCGATCAGCTTCCCCGGACAGCTTTCTGGGCAGGGAAGAAATCAACACAAGAACGGGACGCAGCTGCACAGGGAGGGGTCTCCCACCACCCACCAGAGACAGGCCCAGCCCTGTGGTGCTAGACGTCGGCTCCAAATGAGGTTCCGGCCTGAGCACCCCTAAGCCCAAACTCCTAATGCTCTAAACGTGCCTGGTGCTCATGACGTTTCAGATGTGGGATTATGGATGCTCAACCGCTAGAGTCTACACAGATTCCCAAATCCCAAAACTCCCAAATCGGAAACACTTCTGGTCCCACGCATTTCAGACAAGGGATGCTTCATCTGTATTTAACTTTCCATGGACAACTTTCCATTAACTCCCCTTCTGCAGTTCTCCCCACGGATGAAGGGGGAAGCCTCCGCGGCACACCGGGGCTATGCTACCTGGCCCCCAGAGGGCCCAGTGTGCCAGGCTGCCCACTGGAGCCACACCCTCCACACGCTCCACTCCAAAACACCAGCCGCATCACACCCACAGTTGCGGGAGCCCCAAATGCTGTGAAAGACCATTGGAAGGCAAAGGTCAAACGCTGCCCCAAGCCATCCCTTCCACCATCCACCTTACAACACCCTCCCCCCACACCTAGCCACAAAGTAGAAAATAACCATGAAGACTTCACGCTCACAAACAACACTCAAGTTTCAGCAACTGGTGGTTTTGCTTTGTAGCTACCTTCTGGTAGCAACCTGGTAATGTTAGAGATGACCAAGTCCTTTTCCAAAAAGACTACTACAGTCCTAACAGCAGAAGTTACTTTCTTTATGGAGACCATTCTCTCATTCATTCACTCATCTGTCAAACAGTAAGGTCCACGTGCCCACGAGGACATAAGGTGTGGCTTGCAAAGATGATTCATGAGAACAATGACAGGAAGTTTTAAATCCAGGCGCAGTAACGATGGCAAGGGTGTGGCACACTCACCTCCACTGACCACGGCTTCCATGGACGGGGGGTAAAAGAGCAGCTCTTTGGACGAGGGAGTGACAGTGATTTTCTCTCCAGACCTAAAGTCATCAGAACACTTGAGCTGGGTGGGTTCCGTCTCTCCAGAACCCGGGATGTTGCAGGGCAGGCCCACGAGTGCTCACCGGGCCCAGTAGGAGAAGTCGTAGGAGAAGGGGCCTTGCAGCTCCTCCACCATCTCTTGCACAGGAGGCTTGGTGCTTCCCTCTCCCCCCTCTTCTTTCCCATTCTTCTCCCTCTCCTGCCTGCGAGTCTCAATCTGGGCCAGCTGCTGCTCCCTCCGCAGCTCCTGCACGGACTTCAGGGGGCCCAGGACCAAGGCCGGTTCACTGTCGATGGAAGACCTGGGAGAGAGGGAGGGGGCCCCATAGTCCATGCCATCATGGACTCATCCCTGCCATCAGCGGCAACCTGCCATTCCCACAGGCGGGGACCTGTGAGGCCTGCACACCCGACCAGGGCGCCACAGCAGCACAGTGTTCTGTTTTAAATGAACTATTAGTGAACAAACATTAAAAACTTCTCAGCAAGGAGAGTGGTGTTGCTGGATCAGAGCTGGAACAGAACAGCACTGAGTCTATGACACGCTGATGAAAACACCTCTGCCTCTGTAGGACCAGGTCTCTGCTCTCTCATTCACTCTTCTCTGGGAACAGGCTCTGCAGGCCAGCCCGGAATCCACTGGGCACAGGGACACAGCAGCAATTGTCCGTGACCCTGCAGGGTCCATGTGCTAATGGGAGGGGGCAGCCACGCAGCTGAAAAGTGAGGTCCGAGGGTAAACACTGACACTCTACGTCAGCGGTCAGCCAAGGCCTTTCTGACAAGGTGACCTTGAGCACAGACCTGCAGGAAGGGAGGGCAGAGGCGCACGGCTCCCTGGGCTAGAGTGGCTCAGGTGAGGGCACAGCAAATGCAAGGTCCCTGGAGAGGGAGCTTCCTGGGAGACTCAAGGGATGGCATGGAGACCCCTGTAGCATGGGGTGGAGTGACCCGCAGAACAGCCACGTGAGTCAGACAGGCTCCGGGGCAGCAGGTGTCAGACAAGGGGTCCACAGGCCACGGTGTGGATGCTGGAATTGACTCTGAGTGGGACAGAAAGCCACGTGAGTTTTAAGGACAGAAGTGATGGGAACTTGGCAATAAACAAGCACTCTGGCTACCATGCATAGAACACGGTCCAGAGGCTGCAAGAGGAAGGCCGGACAGGAAGCTGCGACAACTATTCGGGCAACAGAGGCAGTGGGTCAGAGCACAGGATGGCAGCACAGTGCCGGGCAGGGACTGGATTAGGCACAGGTTCTGACTGAATGGCCATGTCTGAGTTGAGACACTGCTTGGGCAAGAGAGAAAAGAACCAAGGGACAGCCATAAAGAGGGAGTAGCCCTATTTGAACCAGGGAGGACCTAAAAGTAGGTGTGTGAGGTGTGATAACCAAGGCACTGCTGCGGGTCAGGCAAGCGGGAGACCTCAGGAGAGATCCAAATGCCTACATACGCGGGACGGGTATCACGTGATATGCAAACAAGTAAACGCCACCAAAACCCCCAGCGAACCTACAGAAATGAATCCCATCCAGATAAAAACAAGCTAATAGGCAGTCACTCTTGGCAAGAACATGGATTTCAGTCATTCCAGGAACGAATACTTTCCAAACAGAAGACAGTAAACAGCACGGCTCCAGCACTGGGCCCTATGTTGGACACCCTGAACAAATTCCCAGCCCTTGGCTAAGAACCCGGCTCCCTGTGAACCCAGTCTCTCCAGACAGAAACCAAGGGCTACCCTGCCTGATTCCAGTGACCACTCGGATCGCCACCTGGCCCTGCATGCTGCCAGTCTGGCTGAAGCCCATGCCGCTGCTCACGGGGCCTCTGTGAGAGCCTCCTGCCCGACCCCATCTCCATCAGCTCCACTCGTGGGCCTCTTCTTCTGTGTTCTTCTCTCAGAAGCCAGCAAGGCCCTCCTGAAGCAAACGTCACCCCTCTGCTTTGAACATGTCAGTGGTGCCCGTGGGACATGGACGGCGACCCTGCACACAGTGTGGCCCCCACCAGGGTTCTCATCTCACGGCTCCGTGGGGGTCTCTCCAACCACTGCCTGCCTCCCCCATGAAGACTGTCAGCTCTGGGAGGGCAAGGGCTGTGGCCTCACGACCTCATGATTCTCCATAACGTTCTCTGCATGGGTGATGGACAGACGAACAGGTGGCGGACAGACAGGAGGAAATGCAGCAGAAGGGCAATTGTGACAAGGGGGAAAGCTCCTCGGATTTCCATTCTGTTTGACACAGACGGTCACACGGCCACATGAGAACATGAGTGTGTCAGGGGAACCTCACCAACACCACGACACCGCCCTCCGAGGCAGCCCGCGCAACACCGTGGCCTGTGTGAGATGCTGCCGTCACATCCTCTCTCTCTCATGACCCTTCTCCTACCAGGGGCCATCTCTATCTCCCGTGCCTTCAAGACAAGGTCTGAAGAAAAATGGGCAATTTTTTTGCTACTTGATAAAACACCTGAAATAGGGGACAAGCTCCAAGGATGCGTTTCGTCCCACAGCAAAGATGAGAAGTAGAGAGTCCAAAAAGAAACTAGAGGCACCAGAGGCAGCTGGGAAGGCTCCCCCTCGCCCACAGGTAATTCTAGAATCAGAAATAAAAGGCTACAGTGAATGCATGGCCGCGCCACACGGCTGTCAGAGAGGCGGGGCCATTTGTACGCAGGCCTGAAGAGAAGAAGTCAAAGCCACTTTCCAGAGTCTGTTAGAAAGCCCCAGGCCTCGCCCACCCCAGACACTTGTCTTACTTGATGGTCACGGTGACATCCATCATTTTGTCAGTGGTGATGGTTCCAAGGACATGGTGGCGAATGGCTGTTAACGTCAAGATGCTGGGTGAAGACCTGAAAATCAAACAGGAGGAGAGAAAACACTGCAGCGTGACCCGGCCATTCCCAAAGGAGCACCAGCGACACATTTTACAGAGACCTCCCTGACCCTGGAATTCATGAAATTGCACTCAAGCTAAGTCTGGAGGGGGTGGCGTTGTGGCGCAGTGAGGTTACGCCGCCGCCTGTGAAGCTGGCTTCCTGTATCAGAGCACCGGTTCCAGGCCCAGGTGCTCCACTTCCAATGCAGCCGCCTGCTGATGCACCTGGGAATGCAACACATGATGACAGCTCAAGTACTAGGGGCCCTGCCACCCCCTGGGAGACCTGGAAGGAGTTCTAGGCTCCTGGCTTCAGCCTGTTCCAGCCCAGACCATTGCAGCCATCTGGGAAGTAAAGCAGTGGATGCAAGATATCTAGATATCTCTCTCTCTAACCACCCCTCCCATCACTGCCTTTCAAATAAAGAAATCTTCTGAAAAATGACTCTGGAAAAACATACAAAATATCTTAAGGGCAAATTAATTCTCTACTCCAAAACTTTACATTTCTAATTCCCAGTGAAATCCACACACATCTGTAAAAATATAAAAAGGCAGCCTCGAGGCCGGCGCCGTGGCTCAATAGGCTAATCCTCCGCTTGCGGCACCGGCACACCGGGTTCTAGTCCCGGTCGGGGCACCGGATTCTGTCCCGGTTGCCCCTCTTCCAGGCCAGCTCTCTGCTGTGGCCAGGGAGTGCAGTGGAGGATGGCCCAAGTGCTTGGGCCCTGCACCCCATGGGAGACCAGGAGAAGCACCTGGCTCCTGCCATCGGATCAGCGTGGTGCGCTGGCCACAGCGCGTCAGCCGCGGCGGCCATTGGAGGGTGAACCAATGGCAAAGGAAGACCTTTCTCTCTGTCTCTCTCTCTCACTGTCCACTCTGCCTGTCAAAAAAAAAAAAAAAAAAAAAAAAAAAAAAAAAAAGGCAGCCTTGAGCTTGAGCCACTCCCAGCAGCGAGGGCTGGGAGACTCGGCCAAGAGCCTGTCTAAGCCGCCTCAGAGCCACAGGCTTTCCCCCTGGGTCTGCAGAATGCCATGGAAGGAGAATTTGTCTCCATTTCCAAGGTAACAAGTCCACGTGTAAAAGACCCTCATGTGGAAATTCTGATTTAATGCCTAAGCTTGCCTCTCCCTTTTGTTCTCAGAAAGAAATGACGAGAGATGATGGCTCGCCCGCCTGCACAGAACACACTGCGAACACCACACCCCAGGCTCTCGATGGGCCGGCTTACGTGTCATAGGTGTAGAAGGCTTGTTCGAACCGGTGGCAGGAACGAGGGGTCACTTTGTAAACGCCTGCAGACAGGAAATCAGAAGCAATTTTCAGAGAATGGCGTCAGTTATGCTAAGCAATTCCAGCAGGTGAACTCCAAAGGCAGCTCCTCTCACATTTGCAAGCTCAAGGCTGTCGTACGTCTGTGACAATGGGATCAGAAGTAGCGAGCAGGCACCTCTTCCGCTGCCTGCAGCGGCTTCCTCCCGACCCGCCCGCCTGCCAGCCCGCTCACGGGTGCAGCTTTTTCTCGTTCCATAATTTAACAACCCACTGCTGTTAAGTCTGCAGAGACCAAGCGGAAAGACGCATGCACGGGAAAAGGAACAGAAAGGACACTCTCACCGTAAATTACAGAACCCCTGTTCTACTTGGGAAATTCTGCTAAAATCCAAAAGACATCCACCACCTGAACCCCTCCTGGAAGCAGCCCCGAGGGAGTGAGGGAAGGCCCGAGAACTTGGCAACTGTGGCGGAAAATGCGTTCACGCCTGGGCTGCGCACAGGGACGCTCGGCTTCAGGGTACAGTCAACTCCAGGCGGGAGCAGTGTCACAGTTCATTCCCCAGCTGACTGTGAAACAAGACCTGGGCCATATTTCCCAGAAAAACCCACAATGAGTTCAAACCGCCCTGTTGTTTTCACAGGCCTGAGCAAAGCCCACGTTGCCATTAAAAAATAAAAAATTTGGTGCCTCCATTCAGTTTGTTTTCCCTTTCTTTCCTTTAACAGATCTGAACAGAGCACCCCCTAGAGCCTGGTAGTGAGCTTGGTGCAGCTCCCGGTGGGGAACACAATAGATGTGGGCTCTGCCTCCATGGGGCGCTGAGCTCCACCTGGAGAGAGAGGCGGTTGATGCCACAAAGCAGCCCCAGGGGAACAGACTGAGCACTGCGGGCAGGAGCATCCACAGGGAGGCCTAAGTGACCCTGGAGGGCCGTCCTCTCCCAGGGAAGTCCTATTTGAACCATGAAGTTCTGGGGAACAAGGCACAAGCCAGATACAGGGCGTCAGGTGTGTGTGTGGGGGCAGGGGTAGGAGGGCAGGGGGAGGGAGGCACAGAGGACACTTCGACAAACAGTACCCACATCCCTGGGCTGGCTGGCAGCTCCCTTAACAAGTCCTCTGTTCTCTGTCATCAAGTAAGCTGCCCTTCCTTAGGGCGACAAAGCACCCAGCCTTGGGCAATCTACCGAAGAGTCCCAGAGTCACCCCTGCAGCTAGAAGTCACCTACAGAGCAGGCATTTGGGGCAGGCGTTAAAACATCACCTGGGATACCCCCAACCCATCACCAGCTCGGCTTCCTGCTAATATGCACACTGAAAGGCAGCAGATGATGGCTCCGATGCTTGGGCTCCTGCCACCCGTGTGGGAGACCCATACTGAGTTCCCAGCTCCTGGCTTCAGTCCAGCCCAGCCCCCGCTGTTACAGGCATTTGGGGAGTGAACCAATAGAAGAGAAAGAATTTGCAAGGCAGCCTGTCACGGAAGGTCCCAGGGCTGGGCGTGCTGCCTCTGAGGGCAGCGGCTGTGGTGTTGTGAGGTTCCAGGCAACGTGAGAGAGTTCTGGCCACATGACCATGTTTGTCGAATAGAAAGAAAATCTGAGGATTTTCCCCCTCATCGTGGCTGGATCAGAAGCAGAGCAGAGGGCTGGCACCGTGGCTCACTTGGTTAATCTTCCGCCTGTGGCACCAGCATCCCATATGGGCGCCGGTTCTAGTCCCACTTGCTCCTCTTCCAGTCCAGCTCTCTGCTGTGGCCCGGGAAGGCAGTGGAGGATGGCCCAGGGGCTTGGGCCCCTGCAACCACATGGGAGACCAGGAAGAAGCACCTGGCTCCTGGCTTCAGATTGGCGCAGCGCTGGCCATGGCGGCCATTTGGGGAGTGAACCAACGGAAGGAAGACCTTTCTCTCTCTCTTTCTGTCTATAATTCTACCTGTCAAATAAAAAAAAAAAAAAAGAAGAAGAAGAAGAAGAAGAAGTAGAGCAGCCAGGACTCGAACCTATGCTCCGATATGGGGTGGCAGTGTCACTGGAGGAGGCTTAGGTCAGGGCGCCACAATGCTGGTCCCAAACATTTTCCCCACCCTTTCCGCCAGGAAGCTGCTTTTTCTATCATGCTGGACAGAACCATGCCGCAGGTGACTTCTTCATGAAAAAGTTTTACTTATTTATTGTCATTTTATTTGAAATGCAGAAAGAGAAAGAAATACTGCTCCTATCTGCTGGTTCACTCCAAGGTGACCCAGGGACAAAGAAGTCACTGAAGACTTTGGGCAAGGCAGGAAATGACCCACTTTTTAAAGGATCACCAGAAGGGGAGGTCACTGGCCAATGGTACAATTTTATTATTATTATCGATAGCCAGAGAGAGAGAGACAGAGCTCTCATTCGCTGGTTTACTCTCCAAATACACTCAGTGGGGCAGGGTGGTGGGGGAAGGGACGAGGGGAGTGGGCCGGATGCTGGGAATTCAGTCCAGGCCTCCCACACGGGTGGCAGGAACACAATCACTGGAGCCATCAGTGCTGCCTCAGCAGGAAGCTGACACCGGGCCTGGGCCAGGGCTGGAACCCAGGTGCCCTGCTGTGAGCTGCAGACACCCTACCCAGCGCCATAACAGCAAGGTCACTCACTCAGCCTGCACACACTCGTAAAACCTCAGAGGGCCCAGTGGTCTGGTCTTGTCTCAAACCCAAAACACCACCGACATTTTTTTTTTTTTTTGACAGGCAGAGTGGACAGTGAGAGAGAGAGACAGAGAGAAAGGTCTTCCTTTGCCGTTGGTTCACCCTCCAATGGCCGCCGCGGCCGGCGCACCGTGCTGATCAGATGGCAGGAGCCAGGAGCCAGGTGCTTTTCCTGGTCTCCCATGGGGTGCAGGGCCCAAGCACTTGGGCCATCCTCCACTGCACTCCCTGGCCACAGCAGAGAGCTGGCCTGGAAGAGGGGCAACCGGGACAGAATCCGGTGCCCCGACCGGGACTCGAACCCGGTGTGCCGGCGCCGCTAGGCGGAGGATTAGCCTAGTGAGCCGCGGCGCCGGCCGGACATTTTTCAACACCACTCTCTCCAGAGGAAAGAGAGAGAAAACAAGAGGCTGTGCTCTGTCATCGGACAGCTCGATGCAAAGAGAACCAAGGTGGGGGGGCTGCTTTGCAGAGCATCCTCCGGGGCCTCTCCATTTTCCTAACGCGCGCATCAATCCTTCAGAGCTTACCAGGCTTGGACAGGCAGAATCGGTTGACTCCTTTGGAAAGGTTATAAATTCCCACATTCTCGGGTCCATTTCCATCCTGATAAAATTCCTAGGGGAGCAGAGCCAATACAGCGACTTACTAGGGGAGATGGAGACACTGGGATGATTAATAATATTTCTGTTTCTGGACCAGTCATCTGTTTTGCCCATTAATCATGTGAGCAGTTGGGTGCCAGAGGAAAATTAAAAACCTTCCCGAACTCCCAACACAAACGTGCTCTTTTTCCTTTGATCGGCTAATATTTATTGAGCACCTGCTATGTGACGGACACAGGGCTGGGCTCTGGGAGGCCGACATGGCTCCTGTTCCCTTCTAACACAGAAGGAAAGTCAAACGCATCAACAAATCAATCAGTGATTTCGGTTGAGAGGTAAGAGGGCCAGGGAGGGGCTAGTCTGAGGACAGCATACCCCTCAGTGGGCAGCCCTGGGGCTGCAGCCTGAACCAAGAGAAAAACCAGCCTACGAGCAATCCTGGAGGAGGTGCTACATTCCAGGACACAGTCCCCAGCTTGGTGGGGAACCAGAGAAAGCCAGTGTGGTTGGGGCCCAGAAAGGGAGCAGGACAGTGGGGCTCAGGAGGGCCTTGTTGGCCGTCGTTAAGATCAGATCTCAATCTTCGAACAACAGAGAAATCTACTGTGGGGTTTAAGGAAAAGAATGGTTTCCTAAATGTCTATCCACTTATTTTTCATCAGGATACTAATTAAGCCATCTCCTAGAACAAAGAAGTTGATGAGTACCACTGGCCCCAGTCTCTCTGCTGGGATCTGACAATGACATTCGCCAGTGCTGGACGTCAAAATCCACAGAAAGCTCAGGAAGGAACCTGCACAGGTGTTCCCCTGCCTGGGGCCCAGGCGGGTCACCGTCCACAGTTGGCCACAGGGACCACAGCCAATTCGAGAGCAACACCTACTGGACAGCTGTGCCTTCCACACCGGAAACAAATCCACAGGAGCAACCAATTTGCCTGCAGCTCTCAATAAACAGTGGCAGGGTATGCCGAGGGAACTTGAAATACTAAGAGGGTCGCTCGAACCCCTCCCTCAGTGCCCCACAGAAGTGGCCATTATGATCCCAATTTTAGAGGAGAAAATCGAGTTCAAACAGGAAATGAAGTTGCCTGAGGCACAAAAGCCAGAATGTTTAGCCCTAAACCGACAGCCTTGCCAAGGCAGCTGTCAAGGAAATCCGCAACGGGCGTTTAACAGGGCCCTGGTCATGCTTGCCCTGACAGGCGGCCGAGTCCCAGGGCAGAAGAGGCTGACATGGCAATGGCTGTTCTATCCTTGGCACGCCAGTCTTTCTCCTCTTCCACAGGGCACACGCTCTTCCGAATCGGGGGGCTCTCGGCCGGGCACGCCTACCAGTGTGATGGCGTGAGACAGGGAGCACCGCAGCATGTAGCCCGTCTGCCTGAACTCCACCGCTGCCACGTCCTCTTCCACGGCCTCCACCTCCACGCTCTTGTTCTTCCAGCACCAGTCTTCGTGCACGATGCTCACTGCAAGGGCAAACAGCACAGAGACAGAGAGAGACGTGGGCACGCAGCTCACAGTCAGAGGACACTGCAACACTCACCATCTCCACCTGTGTGTGTGTGTGGGCACCGTGCAAATACAGACAACAGGCTACTGCTAAAGAAAAACTGGAACCAACAGTCATTAACGTCGCCAAGAAACCCAACTGGGTCTTAAAGAGCAGGCCGCCAGGAAGAGACTCAGGCTCAGCTAACATTCCC